GAAAAATACCATGGAAAACATTGGCCCAGGTAGTTCAGAACCCAACACAATGTGTACTGAAAAATACCATGGAAAACATTGGCCCATGTAGTTCAGAACCCAACACAATGTGTACTGAAAAATACCATGGAAACATTGGCCCAGGCAGTTCAGTACCTAACAGAATGTATACTGAAAAATACCATGGAAAACATTGGCCCAGGTAGTTTAGTAACCAACACAATGTGTACTGAAAAATACCATGGAAAACATTGGCCCAGGTAGTTCAGAACCCAACAGAATGTGTACTGAAAAATACCATGGAAAACATTAGCCCAGGTAGTTCAGAACCTGACACAATGTGTACTGAAAAATACCATGGAAAACATTGGCCCAGGTAGTTCAGTACACAACTGAACACAATTGCTACGTTCACATGACAGCATTTTATCGGAGCCCAACGGCTCGAGCCAGCAAAAATGGCTGTGTAAACGCCTTCGACTCGAGCCGGCTCAAGCCAAGTTCGGCTCCACTAAACCCTCGGGGTTGAACTCCGATAGGGTTGAGTCCAGACATGGCTCCGATCATGTAAATGCATCGGGGCCCAACTATCGAAGCCGAAATTACGCCCTCAATCGTGTTCTTCGAGTAACCTCTCATTTCAATTTTGGCGGAGACAACATCTTTCATAATTTCATGCAATTTCCGGCTTGAATAAGAGGTACGCGTTCTAATATATAGTAACGAAATATTGCGATAGATTGATAGCTCAACGGGAAACAAGAAATGGCGTACGAAATTATGCGACAAAAACTTGAAAGAACGACTGAACGGAAACTTTTTAAAGACACTAAAGATAAAAATCGTAGAAGCGATCGCAGTACGGTGACGTGTTCCTGGTAAGTTTAGATTCTTCCATAGTTTCTCTATGATAGATAGAGAGAATCTGTGATTCTTCCTAGTAGTTTAGATATCACTACAGTTGAATAGTTACAAAATGGTAATTTTGCATGACAATAACCTGACCGAATAGGCTGTATTAAACACATTTTAGCTGCCGTGTTTCCTGTTTATTCGAGATACTAGTACCTAAATCATAATACCAGTCATTGTCTTTTCTACCTCCATGCTCAGGCTCTTTTTTCTCCTAGCTCAACAGCATCATGCCATGTAAAGAAAAAACACAAGTACGATACTAAAATCGTTTTCAGTCACTAATTATTCAAGGGCACTGTTCCGTTCGACTCTGATCGAACTCTGGCAGATCTCGGCTCTCGTTCGGCTCCCGACCATATGAACACATTGGAGATAATCTCCTGTTAATCCGTGGGAGAAGAAGTAGTTCGGCTCCGATAGAATGCTGCCGTGTGAACATAGCAATAGTGTACTGAAAAATACCATGGAAAACATTAGCCCAGGTAGTTCAGAACCCAACAGAATGTGTACTGAAAAATACCATGGAAAACATTGGCCCAGCTAGTTCAGAACCCAACAGAATGTGTACTGAAAAATACCATGGAAAACATTGGCCCAGCTAGTTCAGAACCCAACAGAATGTGTACTGAAAAATACCATGGAAAACATTGTCCAAGGTAGTTCAGAACCCAACAGAATATGTACTGTAACCATGGATGGAAAACATTGACCTTGACCTGAAATTCAACATTTTTGTAAAAACATTTGCCCTTGTAGTTCAGAACCTAACAATATACTGTCTATTACAGTCCATGTATTATACATAGCCCATATAAAACACATGGGAAAGTGGGACAAAATGAATATTCACAACAAAATTTATAACTTTCACAAAAATAGAGATATCTTCACTAAATGAACAAATTTGAAAGAGAACTCATCCATGTGTCTACATTATGTTTCTCAAAGCAATCTGGCAGGCAAAAATAAGAAGTCAAAACTACGCAAAAATGAGAAAAAATAATATTTACTAAAAATATACACATACATAAGGTCTCATGAAATTAGTAAATCTGAGTCTAGTCCATGTCAAGAACATTCATGTCAAATTTCATTGCAATCTGACAAGGAGTGACAAAATTACTCCCAGGCAGCTGTGCTATAATAGCAAGGTATGGTTTGGGAGAAGAAGTCGACTGGAAAAAAAAGTTGACAACATACACTAAAGACAACGACAGGTCCAGTCAACCCATGAGCTTCGCTTGGTCATCTTCAGTGACAGTGGAGCTAAAAATGGGTGTATAAGCAACATTGTGTACATAAATACATGCTGATCATGTTGGTAGGTAATACCCTGCTTCAAATCTATAGACCACACACAACCATATATGGATACATGGCTATTCTGCAACAGTGTGCCTGGCCATGCATATAGGCCATAACCATGCATATAGGCCATAACCATGCATATAGGCCATAACCATGCATATAGGCCATAACCATGCACAGGTGCATGGTTATTCTGCAACTGTGTGTCTGGCCATGCTTAAACATGTAGGTCACAACCATGTACAGGTACATGCTTATTTGATTGGAGCTGGCTGCCCCATTGAGTGAAATCAAAACCAAAAACATAACTATTACAACCTTGTCCATTGATTTAACAACAAATGTATGGATAAAAAACAAACTACTGGTGCAATATCTTTTCTTTTCTTTGCAGGGCAAAGGGAGTATAAAAGTTCGAAACAATGCAATAATACAGGAATATACAGGCTAATGAATGTCTGAATGTTCCTGATAAAATAAAATATAACTTGAATTTTATAAAAGTTCCTAATATAGTTCAGTAACATATCTAAGCACAGTGTTCTCCACAAGGGGTTTAAGAGGGGTGCAGAACCCCTCTATAATTTATTTGCGCCCCTCTATTTATCTTCACTGCCCTCCTTTGTTTTCGATAAACAGCTGTTTCACGAGTCCTGGAAGGTGACCCGATGACGTTATTGGGAGACCTCTTATAAATTGACATAAAACAAGGAAAAAGAGACAGATAGTGGCATTGGTGACAACCAGGACAATGAATTGGATGTCTGGGGGAAAAACAACTAGCTGAATAAATAAATAAATAAACAAACAAAAACAAGCCATGCATGGCACAGTCCCTGTTAGTTATCAAATTTAAGATATATAGTTTTGTTTATAGTAATATAGTTGGGACATAAACATGTAAGAAGTATGGATCCAGAAGATGATGCTTGATTATGATGATTTTTTAACATTAAAATGATTGACATCTTGTATCTGATCGTCAAACGAGTATTTGTCCATATTGAGAAATATTGCTCTGGAACAGCATTAATTAAAACAAAATATCTATAACATGATGTAAAATGAATATATAAAATTTGAACATAATCAGTCAAAGCACTCTAGAAGTGCATGGAAGAAGAATGGCCACCAGTCATCCGATCTGAAAAATAAAATGATGTGCATCAGGACAAAATCCATCCATAAATGCCAAGATCATGATCTGGAATTAATACTGTACATACTGTATTAATCTCAATGTGCCATATTGCATGAATTGTAAAAAAAGTCTGCAAATAATATTGCAGTAATATGTTTAAGAAAAATAAAACAGCACTTTTTTTTTACTTTTACCTATCAGTTTACTACACTTGTCTAAATGAGGGCATATTACTAACAATTGGTTCTCATTATCAGCAGTATAAATATTTAACTCTTTATTCTTCAATTTTACACCATATCTTGAAAATTGCACTTGCTAGTTACACCAAAATTGAACTTTGTTGACATTTCATAGCAATTGATAAGATCCCTAAATTTGAATATGATTAGATAAAGATTGAGTTATTGTAACAAGAAGATTTTAAGTGAAATTTAATAAATATCTTGAAACACATGTACAGCATGTACCATAAGCAAATTTGGCTGAGATCCCAAACTGGTTAATATAATATCTAAAACTGTTATTGTAGCCACAAGAAAAAGTTTTACTATGGAGTCAATGATGACAACATTACAGCAAGTTATAAATACACTAAACTAACTCAGAATATCAATTTCAATTATGTCATCTAATCGCATTAAATTGCCATTTGGTAAATGGCACAAAATATGTAGTTTTGAATCAGTCTCACCACAGACTAACAATATTACTCGTGTAAGGTTAAACAGTCTGTATTTGAATGACACCAACCCCATATGATAATCATGTAACAATCTAAAGATGTACATATAAGTAGTCAGTAAGTTAGCTAGCAATGTTGCCATTGGTGTCAAATTGATGAGGAACACACTGTGTGTGAAAGAATGAACACTTGATATTCACTTGACAAAGTGACACTTTGACCTAAATATAAAATCCAGGTGAGTGACTTCCACATGTATCAATTTACTCATGGTTTATTGCTTGTTTCAATCTACCTCGAAGATCTTTCAAAATGACATTTGCAGAAAATCAGCCAAATAACGTGATGATCTCATTTTTTTCTCTTTTATGAACTTTTGAGGCCTCGAGACATAAAGCGAGATATCTCTAACAGGTCTTGTTAAGAACACACGCAATCTCAAGATTGTACAGTCACTTGAGGGTTGAACATTTAAATAAGTACTATTACTAATCAGTACTATTTTTAAATAAATAATTTATATTTTTTGGCTCACCTTGTCTGTTTTGTGATCACTCCACTTTTGACAAATGTGTATATTAATAATCAAGAGCAGAGAAAATAAGGGCTATCACCCAAAGTTGTTCACCTGCAGAACCATTTGTTTATCTCTGTAACCAAGACTTGTATTTCCCAGAAAGCACTGCAAGGATTCATCCTCGATCGAGATTCAATCAATCCAGCTGCATAATATATTAAAGTATCATTCTTGGAAACAAAATCAGAATATCATAATTATACTAGATATATAGGGGTAGAAAACACATTACTTAAAGATAAAGATAAAAATAAAGCATGTTTTAATTCAATCAGTTAGCAAGTTCAAGATCGAATATTGGTTTGTGCCGTTTAATATTATTGTGACTCATTGGAGGAGAGAAACTAAAAACTAACACATCGGTCTTTTACGGAAGTCAGCCATCTTGAGGTAATAAGTGAGTTTTATGTGTAGTTTTTGCAGTTGTAATTAACAAACCAGAATTATAATTACACATATATAGCACATGTACAAATGCGTGTATATTTGTTGATCGATTTGAGTATTTAAATATTATTCAAGTGTTCACAGAAGGCAGGATGAATTGGATATTCACTGCATGGTTCTCGGGATAGCCAGCAGCAATCCATGACATTTTGTTTACAGCGAGACAAGTTTGAGTACAATCAGAATATTGTGAACCAAAACAACGAAAGAAAAGTGCGAGTCGTGTTACAAAATATGAAAAAAATGCATTGAAAACTAAATAATGTTACTCCCGCAGCATGTTAGTGTTGGGTCATTTCATGTATTGCACGACACGGAGTGTTACAGCAGGGTAGCATGGTACATGGCTGGTTTAGGGGTGGTATTTATATTGGAACTCGACGTCACCTTAACACTGACATTAGAACGGTCATTGACGTTTTCAAAAGCACACCATCCTCAGCAGACGTTGTACGATGAATTTCATTTCTTAGAGTCTGTAACTACTTTACCTAATAAATTGTGTTGTCTCCATGATATTTAATGAAGACAAGGTTCATACAATTCTGCATGTATAGGCTATTTTAAGTGGAAAAAGTGCATGTCTTATTGTCAAATTTGCAACTGTCAACAGAACATTGCAACCATTTTGAATCGTGCACAACTGGTTATTTTTAGATAAGTGCTGCCAACAATTATTGTGTGTGGGGTCCTGACAAATGTCCCAATGAAAACTAGCACATTCACAGGCTAGTGGAAGGGCAGAGTTGATGTTAAGCAATGCGCATTGTAGATATTTGCACAATAAAAATAGGGATGTCCTTGCTCACACAAAATCAAATTCCAGCTTTTCTGTCATTCTGCAACTGGATCTTGGTCATTACATTTACATTTTGTGCGAACGTGGAACATTAAGGAACCTTGGTATACATTAATTCATTTATGAGATCAAATTCAAAATTGTCAACTGGCTGGCATTTTGTTTTAATGTATACTGTTCTAGAGCCGTATCTATGACGTGCCATGACTGTTCATGCATTTTTAGCTCCGCTGTCGACTTTGTCGAGCGGAGCTTATCATATGAGTGATTGTCCGTCGTCGTCCGTCGTCGTCGTCCGTCGTCGTCCGTGTCAATGTTTTACTTTTTCGACTTCTTCTTGAAAACTACAAGCCTAAATGCTTTGATACTTGGTGTATATGTACCTTGGGTAGACCTCTCTTAGGTTTGTTCATTTCATGTTGATATCTTTAATTCTCTAATTTTGGTGAATATTTTTGTCATTTTTGGTAAAAACTGATATTTTCGACTTCTTGTTAAAAACCGCAAGTGCAATTGCTTTGATATTACATCCAGTGTTCTCCCCAGGATGTAAACAGCGTGGCGGTCCCGCC